TAGCTGGCAGATAAGATGACCTAATCACTATGCACATTAAGACATTTGTTTCATTAGGGGAGTCTAAAAATAAAGAACTTACTAGTGGGAAGCAGCATAGAAACTGAATCCATCAGCATGTAACTGACAGGTATATTGTCATCAGTTCTTTCTTCACCTCATTAAAGTATCCATTTGGGGCCAGAGAATCAGTTCCAAAATAAAATAGAGAGAAAGTTACTTCATTTCATAGAAACAAATGTCTGCCGTGCCTTATTGTTTTCCTAAGATCCAAGGGCCACTGCGATGGCAAATCAGGTTTACACAGAGGTGTAACTTTGTTCTAGAACTTACCTTTTGTCTCCTTAAGAACCAGGTCACAGTGTATGAGTAAAAAAAAAATCACATCCCAAGCTTCAAGGGAAAAAAACCACTTCAGTTTTCATTTCAGCGGATAAATTAAAAATAAAATAAGAGAAGAGCCAGAAATAGTGTTTCTTAAAATAAAATGAAGTAAAACTGCCAGTTCCCCAATCTTGGCATTCTCCAGTCATGTGAATTTTGATTCCCAGAATGTAATTAATGATCGTGTTGGCTGAGGAATTCTGGGAATTGAAGCTCATGCATCTCTAGAGTATCCAGCATGGGAGGGTGAATTAGATGTAGACTTTATTCAGGTCAATCAACCGATCAGGAATTTCAATCTTTAAAAGTACAGTCAATGCGATGCACAGCACACACGGTTCTATATTCTCCACTGGATAAAATGAGATTCAGCCAACAAGGAAGGAGCAAAAGAGATAAGAAGATAGGAATTTCTACTGATGGAAATGCATCATTTGTACTGATGAATCAGAATGATAGAATTGGAAGAGACCTTGATGGTCTTCTACTCCAACCCCATTTTTACCATTTCAGGCAAGTGGCTGTCCCGTCTCTTCTTCAAAGCCTCCAATGTTGGAGCACCCACAACATCTGGAAGCAAGCTGTTCCACGGGTGAATTTGTTCTCACCGATAGGAAATTTCTCCTTAGTTCTAGGTTGCTTCTCTCTTTGATTAGTTTCCATCCGTTGCTCCTTGTCCTGCCTTCTGGTGCTTTGGAGAATGGGCTGAGCCCTCTTCTTTGTGGTGGCCCCTCAAATATTGGAACAATGCAATTATGTCACCCGTAGTCCTTCTTTTCACCAGACTAGCCATACCCAGTTCAATTCAATTCAATATCAATAGCGTGAATGACTGGAAGTGTATTTCGGTTGAGTTTTGCAGGATCTGTTAGCACAGCGCTGAGTCCTTGGAAAATTCAGTCTCAGTTGTTAGAGTTTGTTTTTTCTAGTTCTGGCCAGTTTTTTAATTTTGGAGGAATAATCTAGCAAGGGGGATTGGATTGGATTCATCTCAGATAACCACAAATTCTTGTCCTGTCCGCAATATCCCCATTGCATTCCAACTTCACTTCCACCTTTCTAAACTTTACAAGATCTCCAATGACATTGAAACTTAGGCTGGGGTAATTACGAGTTGATCATCGTAAGGAGGGCCTAGAAATCCCATCTCCATCCTTCACTATTAAGAGGCAAAACACAAAACATCATTGTAGCACCCTAGTATGCTGCAGTTTGAAAGACCTATCAACCCAACCAGTCTACGGCATAGCTTTTGTGATACAATCCATAGCATCTTCAAATAATGCCTCTTATTTAAATAGAGCAAGGAGTGATTCGAGCTTAGAGAATTATCCTGAGCAAATATTGGCCTTTTTTAAGGGGGGGGGGAATCCCTCTAGTCCATATTAACACTGTTAAGCGGATGAATTCAGATCTTTCTGAAAGAGAAGCGAATGGTCCATTTCTCTCAACAATTGACCTTTCTCCAAATAACTCTATACACAGGAGCAAACGGCAAGTCAATCACATATCCCAAGCATTGATCCCTCTTAACTTCTCTTATTTATCAAAGTTTTGAAGACCAACTTTCCGGAGCTATTGATTTGCTATGAAGGAGCATTGAGAAGCCCATCAGCGCATAAAATATTTTATGTGCTGCTTCGCTGTGAAATAAAGAGCTGTAAACATCAATACATAATTTTATCCATGGCTATGTGAGCAAATAAAAATCTTCTAGAAAGTGGGGAAAGTAATAACAAAACTTCTGCTGTTAGAAAGATGAGCTGGCTTGGGGATTTGCATATAGAATCATGATAAACTAGCTTATCCCTGTAAAAAGTGGAAGTTGTGAGCTATGAACAGTACAAAACCTAACTAATCAATAGACCTTCACATAGACCACTTAAAATCAAATACATTTCCTTCCAGGCTTGGTCAAACATATCCAGCTAGGGATTTCAATGCTGGGCAGAGATGAACTTGAGAGCAAAGAATACTTTTAAATAAACAGCTTTCAGAACACCCAATCAACCGGACAAGTAATATAACCATGATTTTCTTTCTTAATTGCCCTTTTCTGATAAGAAATGCAGCAGAAATCATAGAAAAAAGGAGGGTTTTAAATGGATTATAAATTGGGACCCATGTCAGAATTTATGAATGGGGCATATTGCAACAGAGACTTGTTCTATCATCACATTGTCTGTTATCCAAGCTAGTTTTTGCCCATGGAAGTCCCACACTAAATAGTTTAATCAAAAGAAATACATAGGTTGTGAGGTCAATTGCCAAATGAGACAACCATATTTTGGCAAATTTGTATTGCTTTCACATTCATTCTGCCTCCACTAGACTCCGCGTTATCGACTTATTTTCTACATATTGAAAGTTCATCACTCAAAAACATTCAGAAGTTGCAAATTTAGGATTTTTCCAACGATTCACTTTGAATAAAGAATCTGAAAAACTATCCCTTACCACCTCAGGCTCAGAAGTTTAATTCTGTCTACTAGAGATGCATAAAAAAGTAGATTCTTGTTCTCTCCGCTTGATTGTTTTCCTACAGATGTTTCACTACTTGGCTAAGTAGAATCATGAATACAGGATGTATCTAGAGTGTAAGGAACAGTTGCTAGAATTGAGTATGTCTAGTTTAATGAAGAGAAGGAGGAAGGGGGACAGGATAGCAGTCTTCCAATATCTCAGGGGCTGCCCCAAAGAAGAGGGAGTCAAGCTATTCTCCAAAGCGCCTGAAGGCAGGACAAGAAGCAACGGATGGAAAGTAATCAAGGAGAGAAGCAACCTAGAACTAAGGAGAAACTTCCTGACGGCGAGGACAATTAACCAGTGGAACAACCTGCCTCCAGAAGTGGTGAATGCTCCAACACTGGAAGTTTTTAAGAAGAGACTGGACAGCCATTTGTCTGAAATGGCATAGGGCAGACATGTCAAACTCGCAATGTCACGTGACGTCGGCAACGTATCGGGATGCTTTTGCCATTGCTGGCAATGGGGTGGGTGCGGCTTCCGGATGAAACATCCGGCCTGCGGGCCAGCAGTTTGACATCCCTGGTATAGGGTTTCCTGCCTGAGCCAGGGGGTTGGACTAGATGACCTCCAAGGTCCCTTCCAACTATTACTATTATTATTATTATTATTATTATTATTATTATTATTATTATTATTATTATGCAGCCCAGAGTACATCCTTCTTAGCAATGAGCAAGAAATAGCACCAGAAAGAAACTGACTAATCAACAAGCCTCAACTCAACCAAGACTGGCAAGACAAGCTATTATATATACAGTAAACCAACAAACTTCACCCTTGCCATACACTGGTGGTGTTAGTTAGCCTGGTAACAAAAAGTCTAAAGGAAAACATACAGAGAATGCCCAAAAAAACCCAACAGCGATTGGCATCCCTAAGGAGAACCAAAGGGAGCGCACTGACCCAGCAGTTAAGATGCTGGACTATTAATCGGAAGATTGACAGTTCGAGACCCACGTACCGTGTGATAGGGTGAGTCCCGATTCTTGCCTCAGCTCCTGCAAACCTAGCAGTTCGAAAACATCCAAGGGCAAGTAGATAATAATAATAATACTAACTTTATTACGGTCATAGACCAGCAATAGGTACCAAGTAGATAAATAGGTACCACTTCGGTGGGAAGGTAGCAGCGTTCTGCGCACCTCGGAGTAGAGTCATGCCAGCCACGCAACCAGAGAAGCATCTTCAGACAATGCTGGCTCCCTCAGCTGGAAATGGAGATGAAGACCACCCCTTAGAGCTGTACAAAGCTGGACAGGGCAAACATTTACCTTTTTTTTATGAAGCACAGGGAAAAGATGCAAGGCACATCCTATTTCTCACAGTCAACCATAAGGACCCATTTGGATGCTGATTTGGCTGAACCTAAAACCATCAAAATATTCCATGATTTGATTCTTCTGAACCACAAAGGTTCTGCAGATCTTTGGCCCAAAAAGGTTCTGCAGATCTTTCGAAGCACACATTCAAACCAAACCACGCCTTTCGCACATGCCCTCCTGAACTTCTCAATTTAGCAATCGTTGTTAGTTGCGAAGTCGTGTCCGACCTATCGCGATCCCATGGACAACGTTCCTCCAGGTTTTCCTGTCCTCTACCAACTTCTGGAGTCCATTTAAGCTCACACCTACTGCTTCAGTGACTCCATCCAGCCAGCTCATTCTCTGTCATCCCCTTCTTCTATTGCCCTCAATCTTTCCCAGCGTCAGGCTCTTCTCCACTGAGTCCTTCCTTCTCATTAGGTGGCCAAAGGACTTGAGTTTCAACTTCAGGATCTGGCCTTCTAAAGAGCAGTCGGGGTTGATCTCTTCTAGGACTGACCGGTTTGATCGCCTTGCAGTCCAGGGGACTCGCAGGAGTCTTCTCCAGCACCAGAGTTCAAAGGCCTCAATTCTTTGGTGCTCAGCCTTAGCAAGAGGTGGATAAAATTTCAAACTGTTCTGATCACAACTAGAAATGGATTTCAGAGCAAAAGACAATATCCCATTATTTTCTCCCCCAAAAAAACCTGCATTCCCCAAATATAAGCAACACAGAGATAACATGCAAAAGCTTATTTCTGTTGCCAAAAAGATACAAGAGGACAATTTTGCTAAATAGAAAGGTTTACTCAATATAGCTGAAAATGACGCACAGCCATTGCTCAAAAAACGAACGTTCATGTTACCTGCATCACGAGGTACAAGGGCAGTGTCAACAGTCTCCCTTTAAATATACAGAGCTTTATTTCATTTTTAAAACGGGGTGATTGATTTTAGATATAAATAGTGTAACAATAAATTGATACACAAACCCAATAGGGATGAAGCTTCTCTCTTCAGGAAACTCAATCGGAGAGCTTTCAACTCTCAAGTTATGGCTTCAAGACTCACTCTAAGCAACATATGACTTTCACTGCTGTGAAGCACACACACACACACCACTGCTGAAAAGGATACACGAGGAACACAGGAAAGCAGGGAGTGTAACCAGATTTAAATTAAACAAAAAAAAAAAACACAGGAGTCAAGATCTTGAGTTTTAGCTATTCTGGAAGGCATCAGTGCTTAGCTGCTGGTGATCTTGTTGGCTTTATAATGCAATTCAGAAAGTCAGTAAAGGAAAGTTCCAAAACACCCCTTCCCATTACGCTTGAACTGGTTGCCCATGATGGACACGAACATCTCCTGAGACAGCTGGCTGGCTGCCTCTGGGATACCCAGCTGGCTCCGTCTCTTTTGGCACAGCTGGTTCTTCTTCAGCAAGGTGGCCCAAATCTCCTCTGAAATCTGAAGATTGCCTTCTCCGTGATCGTCGTCATTGTCTCTTCCATAAAGGCCCCCTTCACTGCTACCCAATTCATGAAGACCTGCATAGTTCTCAGTGGTGGCAGCGTCAGCAGGCGTACTCTCTTTCGTTTGCTCTAAATCAGAAAGAGTGACACCAAATTGATTTCACAGCTTATTGGAGTCAGTCAGTCCAGGATTCACAGCATTTGACTTAATCTACAATGGATTCATGCATCGGACGAGGCCATAAGAGGGTTTGGTTGGTTCCTACTTAGTGCATTGCGGGAATCCAACTGTTGCAGTATGAAAACACGGGCTTAGGCTACATTGCAACCTGTAGCATGCACCGTGCCCTTTCTGCAAGCTTCATGGTAATGCTGATGGATTTGCCTGTACTGTAATATTTTTTTTTTCTTTTAACAATCCCTTGAATCAAGGTGGAGTCAAAGTGACTGACTGGAGCTGAGCATTTGCTGGCCAGATGCCCTTTCTGACACCTATATGGAGCTCAGAGCAGATATTTGCTCTTTGCACCCAGAGAGAGAAGTATCTGCTGCTACCTGGGATCGAATTCACAGCCTGCCTCCTGATTGTATGGCGAGAATTCTGCCTCTACTTTAAATAACATCTATAAAATCATACCTGACATGCTTTCTGGCACGATCTCAGTAGCCTCTTTAGGTTTCACCAGCACCACACCATAGCCTTCATTATTGTGTATCACATTGTTCTTCATGGTTATCTTGGGAACATCACAATGGTCATCCAAAAAGTTCTAAAAGCCGAGAGAGAGTTGCATGAGATCTACTCAGCTCAACAGTTCTAAGGAGACACCTTTTCAACTTATTTGCAGATGGAAAGCCGAAGGCCCACATATAAGAACTTGTAATGGAGCAAAAAGAACCAATAACAAAAGCTAGGCCATTCACCATCCTGCCAACATCTGCCATCCAGATGTTAAGCAGAGCTACAGAAATCAGCGTCCAGAATCAGCTTCCTAATTTCCTAATCCACTTTGCGGGTATTGTGCAATCATGGTTTTACCAAACCTGGGCAGAAGAGGTCCATGATCTAATCCTAGCTTGATCATGGAGATTATTGGGTGACCTTGGGACAATTTCTATCTCTTAGCCCAACTTACCTTCAAGTCTACAGTAAGGATAAATGGAGGAGAGATCCACCAAATGCATTGTCTTGACCTCACAGGCAAATAACCCAATAAAAAAATATATCTTCATTAATTATGAGGTTGAAAGACAAAGAAGATATAGACTACTATCAAATTTGGAATTTATTTTATTCTTGGCTAGAGGAAAGAATGAAGGATTAGGAATTGAACATGTATTAGCTTAGCAAACTCCAGACAACTTGTTGATTGGAAAAATTAACATGTTGATGGAAAAAAAATTAATAAATATATATACTGTGTATGTGTGTGTATATATATATATATATATATATATATATATATATATATATATATATATATATATATATATATATATATATCTTCCTATCAGTGGGGGGTTTTTCCCTGCTTTTACTGTAGGTAAAGAAACATAGAGTGCTTTTCCAATCCTCATTCATCGAATTTGACAACGATTCTTGGATGAGAAGCAAATTGTCTTCAAGCAAAAAACAAGAAGTTTCAATTGCCTCTTGAAAAAGCACCCCAGTTTTTGCAACACTTCCCAGTAAGGCTCCCTCTGGTGCAGAAGTAATAAAACTGAGAGCACTGTAAAGGGTTACTATATGATGAAAAAAACACCAACTTTCTTTTGTGAGAAAGATTCTACTCCACAAAACGAGCAAAACACAATGACACTGGTCGTTTGAGAAGGAACCACTTTGCTACGCTTCCATTTGCCGTACTTTGTGCTTTTTTTAAAAAAAAAAAAATCCTGGGGGGAAAAGACTGTTGTTATGGTTTCAGCTAATGAAACACTTCAAAGAACTTCCAGGCATTTATTTTCCTAAAAGTCAGTGATTGTTACAAAATGTCGGCACATGCATAACGGAGGGATGCTAGGATCTAAGTTCTCTTCCTCTGAGCAGTTAAATTATCAGCATGTTCCCTCCCTAAATTAGCCGTCATATATCACATTATCCAATTAGTGTGAAGGTCAAAGGTTTTCTTCCTCTTTCTTTCCCGGGCTTTACCCCCACCCCCCTTTTGCTCTGTATTAACTCCATAAACACCAGACAGTTCTGATATTGTCAAAAGCAAGAATATACAATATTTAAGCAAGAAAAATTGTTAAACAAGAAAAATTGGAATAGCTAAACAATCCTTTTCAACAACGGACTCAAACATTGGTACTTAACTTCCAAGCGAGAACACACCTTGATAAGGATCCCTTCTTTACAATGGTGTAGCCCATTCCCAATCAAAGTGCAGGTGCTGCCTGGGTAGATTTCAATCCCAGCACCCTGAAATTTGGAGAAGAAGCAGTTAAGAAGCAGGTCAAAAATAGGAGAGACAGTGTCCCAAAGGTACTTTTTCAAGAGGCAACTGGACCTTCTTGTTTTTCCTTGAAGACATTTCGCTTCTCATCCAACCCCCTGCTCAGGCAGGAAACCCTATACCATTTCGGACAAATGGCTGTCCAGTCTCTTCTTAAAAACTTCCAGTGTTGGAGCACCCACAGTTTCTGGAGGCAGGTTGTTCCACTGGTTTATTGTTCTAACTGTCAGGAAATTTCTCCTTAGTTCTAGGTTGCTTCTCTCTTTGATTAGTTTCCATCCATTGCTTCTTGTCCTGCCTTCAGGCGCCTTGGAGAATAGCTTGACTCCCTCTTCTTTGTGGCCACCCCTGAGATATTGGAACACGGCTATCATGTCACCCCTAGTGCTTCTCTTCATTAGACTAGACATACCCAATTCCAGCCACCGTTCCTTGTATGTTTTAGCCTCCAGTCCCCTGATCACCTTTGTTGCTCTTCTCTGCACTCTTTCTAGAATCTCAACATCTTTTTTACATTATGATGAAGTAATGTTTGAGGAGTTTGCCATAATTTCAAACAGCTGCTAAACAACTGGTCATAAGTCAGGATGACCTGTAGCGGAAGAGTCAGCTATTCACTCTAGTTTGTTCAAATCTATGGCTACATCACAAGCGGCTAAGACATTCTGAACATAGCAAGAGCTATTTCTCAACAAACATGCACAGAGCTATCATGGGGTCCATTCTCCAGCTCTTGCAACATGCCATTGCTGATATTGGCAACCCACGTAGCTTTATGTGAACACTTTATTTGTGATCAATCCAACTTCTTTTGATAGAGATGTCATCTACAGCGATGATTCCATGGAAGCTCTTTGATGCTCTGGGAAAGAGGACAACCAACGAATGCCAACATCTGTTCCTACCTTAGATCCATACAAGTCAGAGTTCTTCATTAAGAGCTCGGCAGATGTCCGGATGGCAACTCCAGTTGTTTCACACTGCAACACACAGTTTTCCAGAGTGGTCCTTCCTTGATGAACACCTGCAAAAATAGTGTGCTCTTGAATTTGTGGGCTCACAATCAAGACTTAAGAGACAAAACTTCCCAGTGAGCATAAACAAGGAATTACAAAATGCTTTTGAGCTCAACAACTTTGTCAAGCTCATTCTTAAGTTAGCAGAGGCTGATTTGCACAAACACAGCCATCCATTGATCTCAAAACACAAAGCCCCAGGGGCATTTTGAGTTGCACAAGCTGGTAGGCAGGTTCTTTTGTGGATGACACACCCTTTGATTAAAAATCAATGAGCGCAATCATTTCTTGATGATAAAAGTAGCAATCAACACACGGGCTCTCAGAAGTCTCGTCTGAAGAAACAGGGCAGAGTTATTCTAAACAAGTCAGTTTTATAAAAAATAATAAATCTTTGAACTGTTGGGTTAGTACTCCCCAGATCCTTAACCTGTGTGAGGTGTGTTGCCCGACACTTTGGATGAAACCAAGACGAAGAAAGGAACTCTTGAGAATTAAGAAGCATTTCTAGAAGTTTTAGGCCAGTTCTGATTTTCTTGCATCAAAATGCAGAAGCTTATATTAAACACTTTTTTTTGGGGAAAAGGACACAATGTATAAATTTACTCTTTTAAAGAATATATTAGGGACAAGCAATTAATAGCTTTCAAGAGTGGCTCAAGCACCCTCTCCCCAATTTTTTTTTTTTTTTTTTTGGTGAGTGAATATATTTTCACATAAAAGGTGCTGAAATAATCTTGCTAGCCCATGGAGCATTTGTTATTCAAATCCACATCTCAGATGATGAAGTGTTAATTATCACCTTCTTCAAAAGGCAGAGGGACACAGCTAACGAAAATTCATCAAATTCGGAGGGAGGGAGGGAGGACAGGAGAGATGGCAGGTCCCCATTAGGAAACAAAGTCTTTAAAGAAACTTTTAGCAAGACACATCAAATCAATATGGGTTATTAACATGGAAAGAAATGAATGGGAAAAGGGAATACAATAACATTAGAACAATGAATACCCACTCTGAGGACGCTGGCAGAGGACCAGCGAAAGCTAAGTTGTTTTAATCTTGTATATAATTGTTTTTATTGTTTTAAATGTTGTTTTAACAATAAATAACTGGAGTATACTCTTCCCGGAGATCAAAGATTGCATCATTGAACAAATATGCCCGAGATTCGTATTTTTATAACCATTAAGGACATATATATATAGAAAATCAGTCGTTAGGTAAACTACACTGAGCAAAACCAACGATGGAGTCATGGTTCAGTGTATTAAGTTTACTAGAGAGGTCAGCAACCAGTTTAAGGGTGCCAGAGAGTATTGCTTGTGCATTATTCTCTCCTGATGGCTTCTGTCATAGGTTAGCCAGCAGAAGACAACACCTTGTAATAGACCCGTGGTGGCGCAGTGGTTAGAAAGCAGTATCGCAGGCTGACTCTGCCCACTGCCAGGAGTTCGATCCTGACAGCCTCAAGGTTGCCTCAACCTTCCATCCATACAAGGTTGGCAAAATGAGGACCCGGATTGCTGGGGGCAGTTTGTGGGCACTCAGTCTCTAAAAGGTTCGCCATCACTGTTCTAGCAGGTGTGGAGAAAATACCAGACAATTCTCAAAACAAAGAGGATTTGTTCACATGAGCGATTTGGACCTCGGTGGGGTGGGGCTGGGAATGTCATTGTTATATGCTTAGATGCCTTGGGATTTATGAAGACATTATAAAGTGGTACATAAGTCTAAGGCAGTGGCTCTCAACCTTTTTAATGCCGTGACCCTCAACCGGTCATAAGTCGAGCACCGTTTGCAGAATGGGACTTTTGGTGGGCTCAGCAGGGCAGAGACAGCCTGGACAATTCCTATTGGCTTTTGAAAGCCAATAGAATTAGACTCTATTCAAGAGAGTCTTTTCTATTGGCTTTCAAAAGCCAACAGAATAAAAGGGAGTAGCACAGCTAAGGAAAAGGGGGGAAAAATGGCGGACTGCGTTGTTTGGTGACCCCCGTGAAATGGTCGTTCGACCTCAAATGGGGTTGCGACCCACAGGTTGAGAACCGCTGGTCTAAGGGCTATTGCTATCAGTCACAGCAGTGCATCTTGGAAGATCCATTGGTTGCAGATGCCTCATTTCACTCGGGAAGTCAAGAAACTCACTCAAAATGCCTTTCACTGCATCATGTTGGATAAGCTTCAAGTTAGAAATTTTCACATCCTTTCCAGCACATTCCACAAAAGCATGTACCTTCCCTTGCTTTTCTATCACGATGTCATCCGGCAGTCCATAGCCTTTGCAAACAACAAAAAAAAAAAGAGTGATTATCTTTTGGTAGATCTCCAAAGTAGATCCTTCCATAAAGGAATACTCTCTCCACCTCATCCCATGTTTATGTAGGATAGAAATAACATATTCTCTAGTTCTACAATCCCATCATGCTGGACAGCCAGGAATTATTCTAAACACTGATCGTTGATCTTTGCACTGTTCTAGAAAAACATATTGACTGGGATTTGAATCATAATTCTACGCATCTGCATTATAAACACCAGTCTGCTACATTTAGTGGTCTCATATGTCCAAATTCATGGTGGTGCATTACACAAAATGACTCGATTTTAAAGAAGGTGATGTCTATTCATTTTTTTCAGGAAGCAGTATTCAAAATTTATTGGAAGCCATATTCTTGATTAAACAAGTAACCTTTCCTAATCTGTGCAGCATCACTTATCTACTTAAAGCGTTGTTTTAAGAGAGGTACCGTTATGTACCACTTAAGAATGATAAAATGGCTTCATGTCTCTTGAATTAGCTTTTCGCAAATTGATATTCTCCAGATGTGCCCAGGTACAGCTCACGCCATCTCCAACTATAATGCAGTACACCTTGAAGGTAACACACCGGCTTAAAGATAAATTCCTTGGTAATCCCTCCAAACAAATGAGGTAGGATGAGCTGTGGAAAGATACCTTTTAAAGAAGCAGCCTCTTTTCCTGACCTCACTCAATGGCTGTGCAATCCCAGAAAAACATAAATAAGGTAGTGCCAACAGGCTATGATAAGGCCCTTCTGAGACATTGTGAGTATGTTTCTGGAATCTCCTTACCTCAAGCATGTGTTTTCCTAGGATTGCATGACCCATCTGGCAGGGCCAGGAGAAGACACATCCCTTAAGGAAGCACCAGAGAAATGACATGCCTACCTTGTCCACTCTAAAGCACCTTCTTGGCTCCAGGTCCAAAATGCTGGACATCCAAAGGACTTGCAATGCTCTCCATTTAGAAAGCAGTGATAAGCAAGCAACTAAGATTGCTCATCAGTAGCCAGTCTCCTGGTTGTTAATTTCAATGTTATCTGAGGAACTATCTCACCTCAACGGGATTGGCCCATCCCACCCATGCTAGCAAAAGGGGCAAATTGCAAACCATTGGTCAAGGAATTTGGGCTGGCAGGGATCCAGGAGAAGATCCTTTTCTGTGCTGTGGCTCCTATCCTCTGGAACAACCTACCCCAGTGGTGGTGAACCTATGGCACGGGTGCCAGAGGCGGCACTCAGAGCCCTCTCTGTGGGCACGCGCGCCATCGCCCCAGTCCTAGGCCTTCAGCTGGGTTTTATAAAACCTTTTCGCTTTAGGCCTCCGCCGCCGTGTGCAAAAAGAAAAAAAAAGATTCAATCAGTCAATTTCAACTTCTCGCGGGGAAAAAAAAAGATCTTGCAAAGTTGGAATTGATTGATTGAACTTTTTAAGTCCCACCCAGTCTGCTGTTACCACCGCAGCCATGCCCAGCCAATGGGCCACGCCCAGCCAATGGGCCACACCCACCTGGCACTCAACGATGCATAAGTGGGTTTTGGGTTGCAGTTTGGGCACTCGGTCTCTAAAAGGTTCGCCATCACTGACCTACTCCCAAGGGGGGCTCCTCCCCTGACATCTTGGCCTTCAGAAATGGCCTGAACATCTGATTCTACTAATTGTCCTGGGGCCATGTCATCCTGGAAGTGCCCAATAGATTGAAGTAAGACCCCCATCTTCTCCCTGTGTGTGTTTTGCTCCTTTCCTCCCCACCTTTGTTAATTTTAAGGCAATTTTAGTGTTAATATTTATTGTTGTACTGTTTTACCTTGTTGTTTTTAGTTGGTTGTAAGCCTCTAGATCAGTGGTTCTCAACCTTTCTAATGCCGCGACCCCATAATACAGTTCCCCATGTTGTGGTGACCCCCAACCACTTATACATCACTGGTTGCCAGGGGCGTGGCCAAAGAAAAGGGGGAAAAAATGGCGGACAGCCTTGTTTGGCGACCCCCATGAAATGGTCGTTCGACCCCAAATGGGGTCCCGACCCACAGGTTGAGAACCACTGCCCTAGATGAGTTGGGCAGCATATAAGTTTAATAAATAAACATGTGAATGTTATGCGATGGGAGACCACACTGGTCCTTCCAGTTTAGGACTGATTTTTCTTTTCCTTATGTTAAAATGGACAGAAAGGAATGTTTTGTCATGCGAGAGCATCTATTTGATCCCACTGTCGTCCCACATCATGATTCAGATCGCCTATTTATAAACCTCCACATCATTTAAAAGGAAAGGTCTGCGGTTTCCTCACACTTAGGTAAGTCTTTAAAACAACTGCTTTTTTTTTTTTTAAGACCAAGGCGAAGTTAGCTCAGTTATCCGCTATTGTTTACTCCAAACCACTTAAAGAAATTTATGAGCATGTAAAGCTTTTATGGCCTGTCACTAGCATAACGACATGGCAACCAGGGAATAGAGATACCATCAGCGTCATGGCATTTATTTTTTCTGCTTTTGTTTTTTTAAGTATCTCCAAACTCAAGAGATGGATCGAATAAAGAGATGCATGATAAAGCTGTCAACTTGAAGAAGAAAAAAAAGTGTTCTAGGTGCCTTGTAAGAAACTACGATTTAATTAAATCTGCATCGACTAGACAGCCACTTGTCTGAAATGGTATAGGATCTCCTGCTCGAGCAGAGGGCTGGACTAGAAGACCTCCAAGGTCCCTTCCAGCTCTATTGTGATTCTGATTCGGTACTAGCAGCCTACCCTTCCTCCTTTTTTAAAAAAAGCAAATCGTACCCCCAAATTCATCCTGACAAGCTGCAACGATTCTCTCTCATTGGGCTTTCTTTGCAATTATACCTCCCGCATCATTAATCTTCACGCCGTTCAAAGCATCGCTGGGCTGCTTCAACTTCCCTCAAAAGCCCCCCCCCCCCCGTGACAGGCAGGGAGACTCCCTGACTCTTGATCAATCACCGCATCCATTCTGCAAATCGACTTGATCTGGGCTTTGTTCCTGAAGAGCAGGGAGGGGGGTCTTCAAACTTGGCCCTTTTATGACTTGTGGACTTCACCTCCCAGAATTCCTCAGCCAGGCACGCGTGCCTGGCTGAGGAATTCTGAGAGTTGAAGTCCACAAGTCATAAAAGGGCCAAGTTTGAAGACCCCTGCTGAAGAGCTTCAAGCTGGAGGCCGGTCTAGCGCACTTTGGATAGACTAGACCTTGTTCCCGTTTGCCTGACCTCTCCGACGGGAAGCGATTTGTCACAAAGATCACCTCGTGTGCCCAAACCGGCTTATCCTCACCCCTATCGAGAAATGAAATTTATCGCAACTTCATCTTTCTCAGGGGGTTTGGGCAAGGCAGGCTGGCGTGGATATCTGCATAAATCCAGTGGTTGAGAGGAGGAATGGGGGGGGGGAGCCAGAAAACCGTTGTAAAAAACAACAATGTAAAAGAAGTAGAAAAAAAAAGATGAAGAAGGAAAAAAAAAAGAAAAGATGACTGGCATAGAGAAGGGGGGAAAAATTAGAACCAAAAAAAGCAGGAAATTAAAAAAAAACACCTCTGCGCTTTTTCTATTAGGAAGTTTTGACAAGATAAAGAATGAGCCTTCAACAAAGCTGGGAGAATCTAGGAGAGCAATAGACATGCCTGTTATGTTAACAATGAATGGCAGGCCTCGAATTAAAACCAGAAACTTTTTTATTAAGGATTACTAAGGAGAAATTCAGCAAAGGATCTTTATACTTAGTATTGCACATTCTAACTGCAGCGAGACAAGCCTATGCTCAGAAATGGAAGAGAATATAATAATAATAATGATGATGATGATGATGATGCACCCGCACACCCAAAGCATAAATAAATGACATGTGCTTATGAGTGGTGTTAGTGCAATGGTATCACCGCACATATCTCCTTTTGTGATTCGTTGAAGAGGCTGTACAAATGCCACCTCTGTCTGCAGCTCTTTAAAGCAGCTAGGTCCTTTCCAGGAAGTCTGCAGCTGCGCTGAAAGGCCACATCTGGGTTAAGGGCAGATAAAAGCTACCCGCACATCCAGGATCTGAAGCTTTTTTTTTGCCTTCAGTTCGGAAACACTGCACAGGGTTACTGGAAAGCTCTCTGCGGTCTAGAATCTACACAATATTTTGCGGAGTGAGAATCTAAAAATAAGCATTCTTGATACAAGAAACCCAGTTGTAGAATTCTCTCCCTGTTCATTAATTTTGGCCCTTTTTTGGCATTTACTTAAGATCATCTAATCATCGAAACACTGGTTAAGCTGCTTTTTTATCTCGTTTGGAATTTTCTCTGTATTATAGACTTTGAGCTGTTGATGATAATCAGCACATTGTTTTTATATGTTTTTATTTGTTTGGCTACACCATTTAGGCGGCCATCCATCTCCCAGCAATGTATGAAAAGTAAAACCAAAAATGAAAATTAAACCAACAATTCAGATAACAAACATCCAAGGCTGAAAAAAATAATTCTCATCTTACAAGAGAAATAATCCACAATGAATCCAATCACCCAGCAAAACTCACTTAACCTCCTGGCCCAAATGTTTTTACCGAATGTGTTCCTTAGCTTACAATAAATTTTAAACCCTCGCTTTTTAATTTGTTCTCGTTTTCTTTAAATTGTTCCCTGATTTGGATTTATTTTTTAAGAAAAGAGGGATTTAAAAAAAAAAACAGCAATTAAGCAACCCTTCAGGTGCTCATCAAGGAAATACACCTTCAGAAATGCTAGACAATTAATTATATACAATTGGTGCTGCCAATTAAATAACAGAATATGGAAGGCTAGGAAAAAAAGGAGTTTGATAATATTAAAAAGTTTGATCTGCACAGAATGGACCTCGGAGTTAAGAGTTTTATCCCAGTTTGCATTCAGAATCTCCAAAATCTCTGCACTATGGTGTTAAAATAAAAAACATTTATTTATTTATGAGACTTATTTATTTATGAGACTTATATACCGCTTTAAGTGCAAGCACTCTCTAAGCGGTGTACACCAGTAAGCAACGTATATATGTATATATTTACATTGCCCCCAACAATCTGGGTCCTCATTTTACCTACCCCGGAAGGATGAAAGGCTGAGTCAACCTTGAGCCGGTAAGATTTGAACCGCTGACCTGCTGAACACAGTCAGCTAAAGTGGCCTGCAGGACTGCACTCTAACTGCTGCGCCACATCATTTAGGAATTCAAACAGATCAAGCATAAAATAAGAGGTTAATTTACATTTATACTTAGAATTGCTGTAAAAGAATATCTGAATTTATTTACATTTCCTACCTTTTTTTCCTTCGCTTCCTGCACTTCTCTTATTTTTTCCTATCTCTCCTTTTTTTTTATCCCTACATTATAGTTCTTGTTCAATTTTATCTTTCATTTTAAAATATATAGGAACATAGATTCGGGTAGATACATTTGAATTCAAACGGGTCATCCACCAGAGAGAGATGAATGAGAGAGGTGAAAATTTAACACCTGGTGTAGTTACTGCACATTTGGAATAAAAATCATAGGAACAGGACCACCTTATAAGGCCTTGGTAAGACCACACTTGGAATATTGCGTCCAGTTTTGGTCACCACAGATGCTGAGACTCTGGAAAGAGTGCAGAGCAGAGCAACAAAGATGATTAGGGGACTGGAGGCTAAAACATAAGAAAAACGGTTGCAAGAATTGGATATGTCTAATCTAGAAAAGAAGGACTAGGAGTGACATGAAAGCAGTGTTCCCACACTTGAGGAGCTGCTACAAAGAAGAGGGGTCAATGTGTTCTCCAAAGCCCCTGAGGGCAGGACAAGAAGCAACAGATGGAAACTCATCAAGGAGAGAACCAACCTAGAACTAAGGAGAAATTTCCTGACAGTTAGAAAACAATTAACCAGTGGGACAACCTGCCTTCAGAAGCAGTGAATGCTCCAACACTGGAAGTTTTTAAGAAGAGATTGGACAGCCACTTGTCTGAAATGGTATAGGGTTTCCTGCTTGAGTAGGAGGTTGGACTAGAAGACCTCCAAGGTCCCTTCCAACTCTCTTATTCTGAATATCTGAATATCTGTCCTGCGGCAATTCTCCCATCCAGGAAGAAGGGATTTCTCTCTCTTTAAGGGGAAAATTTTAAAAAATAGACTGAAATACTCACCTTCTAGTGTAACAGAATCAGCGACAGATAATGCTCCTTCAATAATGTAATGGCCAGGACAAATTATTACTCTGTCTCCTTCGTAGCAAGCATTCAAAGCAGACTGTGGATCGTTGTGGAACTAAGAAAGAACATACGGAGTAATGAACGCTGGAGAACTGGGGCAATGCCTGTCAAAAAGCAGAACAAGCAGACAGGAAAACCAACCAAGAAATGAGCTTGGATTCAGACGAGGTGGAAGTTAATACACTTCAGATAAGACTATCCCTTGTTTGTTTCATTTCATCCAGTCGTTGCCATGTTAAAAAGTAATTATTTATTTAAAATGTTGATATGGCCGCCCCTCTTAAAAACAACTCCAAATAGCGTGCAACCAAATAAAAACAAGATAAAACAACAGAAATTCCAGCTAGGAAGATTAGCAAGGTCTGGAACCCACACCAAAACCAGCAGCCCCCCCTGGAGGAGAGTCACCCCTGGGCACAGCCCACACGAAGTAGCGCAGCCAAGGACATGGTAGCCGGGCAGCGGGGACAAGACTCCACCCTTGCGCCCCGTTGCACACAGATGATGCTGCGGGGCACGGGCGGAGGGTGTGGCCGCCATGATGCTGCTGGGCTGCCTGGGTGACCTCTGGCGGGCTGTGGAGGTGGTGGGTGGCCCAGTGGGCAGGGCGGAGTGGGGACGGAGGGGCAGTTTTTGGGCATTCGGTCTCTAAAAGGTTCGCCATCACTGAGATAGAGACTTCGCCCTTTAAGGCTGGCACACTGTAGATAAGAAGGAAGAAAGCAGAAGTAGCTAAAAATGTTCCCTTTTGGATGGTTTGGATGTTTCCCTAAGGCACCATGTGTTCCCGGGTGAGTTAGGATATTGGGTGTTTCCTTTGCTGTCCTTTCATGACCTTGCATTCATGGGTCTGCAAGTGGCCAGAGAGCGCGGGGCCATCTGCACATATTCACTGTCCTCTAAGTCCGGGTCAACACTCTTTAGTGTCAGCTCTTTATTTTTTTAGTTTCCTCTTATTTCTCATGTTTTAGTTGTGTTTGGGTTCGCTATCCCTGGCTGGTTAAAAACCGTAAATGAGCTTGACGGCCACTGTAAAAAGAACCCCAGGAAGTGCTATCTAGCCAATCTTGAGCCTCTAAAGAGAAGGGAAGACACTGACCTATCCAGAAATAATTTAACAAAGCCAACCTGGATTTCAATTTCTTCATTGAAATGTTCTGGAGTAAGTTTGTCCCTGAACAGGCATTGCAAGAAACTCGACTGGACTGTAGAACAGACAACGTGGGTGAGGGTGGCATTAGAGGAACGGAGTCCTTTTGCTTTGAGGCCAGCGTGCTTCTTATAACCGAAGACGTACCTAGAACAAAAAAAAAAAAAAACCCAAGCAGGTAGCTAAGGAGAGCCAGTTTGGTCTAGTGCAGGGGTAGGCAACCTTGGCCCCTTCATGACTTGTGGACTTCAACTCCCAGAATTCCTGAGCCAGCCTGGCTCAGCATGGAAACCTCTCTCTTTCCCCTCAGCGTGGTCAGCTCAGGAATTCTGGAAGTTGAAGTCCACGAGTCATAAAAGAGCCAAGGTTGCCTACCCCTGGTCTAGTGGTTAATATACTAGGCTAGAAAGTGGGAGAATTCTGGCAATTGAAGTCCACAAGTCTTAAAGTTGTCAAGGTTGGACCCTCCTGGCTTATGGTATAATTGATGTTTCCTGTTAGAAAAACAGAAATCTTTGTATTCTGATACAGTTGGTTGCAGGAACTGGCTATGTCTAGTTTAACGAAGAGAAGGACGAGGGGGGACATGATAGCAGCCTTCCAGTATCTCAGAGGTTGCCCCAAAGAAGAGGCAGTCAAGCTATTCTCCAAAGCGCCTGAAGGCAGGACAAGAAGCAACGGGTGGAAACTCATCAAGGAGAGAAGCAACCTAGAACTAAGGAGAAACTTCCTGACAGTGAGAACAATTAACCAGTGGAACAACCTGCCTCCAGAAGCGGTGAATGCGCCAACACTGGAAATTTTTAAGAAGAGACTGGACAGCCATTTGTCTGAAAGGGTATAGGGTCTCCTGCCTGAGCAGGGGGTTGGACTAGATGACCTCCAAGGTCCCTTCCAACTCTGTTATTCTGTTACAGTAACTCCCAACATTTGCAATAATGGCTTTTAAAATCAGAAGCGGCACGCTTCTGATTTCCCTCTGTTTTCCTGAGGCAGCTATCGTTAACAGGAAAAAAAAAAAAAGTAAATCAAATATTTAACCTATAATCTGCTTCGGCCCGAGACCGAGGTAAGCAAACAAAATTATTCCACAAAAGAATTTAAACCAGGCAGGGGGGGGGGGCGGCAGGGGAAACAGTCCACTTTGCATTGGATTTTGCAGGCAACGTAAATTCTTTGTTCCAGAGCTTTAAACCATGAAATATTTGCTTTACCTGAACAGAAGGTTTTCAATCATTTTCAGCTTCTGTTTCAAGTGCTCGATTTGGTCGTAGAGTTTCATCCCTTCCACCACAGAAACGTTGTCCTTTTCAGAGTCAGAAACGCAGGCCAAGAGGCTGTTCCTGAGGACTTGGAACTTGCCATACAGCTCCTCGCACTGAGAGAGGCGGTTGTGGTAGTCTGACACCAGAGTTGGCGAGACACGGTCTTCAACGATGTCATAATACCTAAAATTCCATATTGGGGGAGTGATTGGAGGACGGAACAATACTTGCGTTGCAAAAATTCCTGACGTCTGTGCAGCAAAACTTGAATTTAAAAAGCCTGCAACTTGATTTAGTTAGATCTCCCCTTTGTTACTTTTACAGATAACCCAAGGAAGAGAACATATCCAACACACATTTCTCCTCCTATTTCTCAAACAGCAACCCTGTGAGGTGGGTTGGACTAAGAGGAGATTACTGGGCCAGAGTCACTTAGCCAGCTTTTACACCTAAAGCAGGACTAGTACTCACTGTCTCCTGGTGATTGACCCAAAGTCACCCAGCCAGCTTTCCCCAAAACTAAGACTAAACTGGAAAATAAGCCCTAGCATGATTTTGCAGGACGCTCGTAATATAAGCCCCACCCCCAAAATAAGCCCCAGTTAAGATCGTCAGCCAGATGGACGCATTTAGTACTGTATTTCCCCGAATACAAGCTCCAAATGGAAAATAAGCCTTAATGTGTCTTTTGGAGCAAGCATTAATATAAGACCCGGTTTTATTTTGGGGGGAAACACAGTAGAAGCCACCCAGCTGCTTGAAACTGACCAGTTTTTAATCAGTTTCACACTGAAGCTTGTTGCTGTTGCTGCAAATGCAGGCCTTGGTTGGAAAAATGAATATTTTTGTGACCATTAATTATCAGCGCATTTGGCACACGGTCACTCTGCGAAGCAGCCTCTAAACAAAGGACGACCTGCATTTCGTGCACTGGCGTCACACCCCAAGAGCCTCTGCTTTAACGAGCGATTAGACCGATTCACGGGAAAAACAAGAGTAAGGGTTCCCCATTAAGCCTGCGAGCTAACGCAACCTCGGTGTTCCGAGCCAGTGCACCTTTGCACACCCGTGCCTTGCAGCAGCCTAGGATTGTAGATCAGAAGTGGACAACCTGTAGCCTCTGGCTGGGTTTCAAAAGCTCGTTGCAATCAATTAGCGCCGCACTTTTGCCAAAAGCAACGTGTCTTTTTGCAGCGGTGCGCTGCCTAAAGGTAGCAGAAAGAAACATATTCCAGAAAGGCAGAAGGACTGAGAACACACTGCTGCTGTGCAACGTTCAGAGGAGAGAGGGAGAGGGAGGGAGGGAAGGAGGGAGAGAGAAAGTGGAAGAGGACGTATTTCCTATCTGCCACCAACGTTTACCCACAATAAATATCTTTTGTGTCAATTGCAGGGAAACACGATTGCCTTCAGCTTTGCTTTGCTGGCAAATCTAATGCATCTCAATTTTCTTCTGCAGGGGATGGGGACAAGGCTGGAGAGCTGAAACGAGAAGGCCTTTTGCGCTCAACTTGGCAGAGCATCCCGGGAAGCAGGCAAAATCCATTTCACTTAAGGACCGTGTCGAAACATTCCTCAATTAAAGGAAAAAAGTAGGGATCCCGGACCACGAGCCACTTGGGAAGAGAGGCATGGAAGAGGACAGAGGTCCCCACCACACCCACCCACCTACCCACCCACGAAAACAAGGCTTGCTCTGCAGTGCTGTTGCCAAGCAACAAGCCGGCAAGACATTGGCATCCCCACATTTTGGGATTCAGTGGAGAGAGACAGGCTCCCGTTCGTTTGGGGGATAGCAATCGTTTTTCAGCTTCTTCCAAGCAATCAGCCTGCGGTTTGCGCCCCTGGGATGCAATCGCTCCACTGCCAACGTCCCAGAACGTAAAAAATAAATAAATAAAACCAAGACAAAGTCTACCCAACCTGACCAAAAAAAAGAAGAACATGTCCAAAAGGGGAACAAGCAAACGCATAAGGATTTTCCAGAGGGATCAAGGTAGCGGAGGGGGGCTGTAACGTTTTTGAATACATTCTAACCCGGCTGAATTGCCATGAATTAAACACGTTTCATCGACCTATTTACAATCTGTTGTGTGCTGCCATCTTGTGGTAGATGGGTGCAATGCCTCAGACAGAGCCCAAAATACCCCTGCATTCTCGTCCGGAATCTTGTCAACGGCTGGGTGTTCAGCCCGAACATATCAATAAAAGTGTTTAATTCTTGAAATACAGAATGCAGAAGGAGGAGAAGAATTCCTCAAATTTTCCCTGTCGGCTCCACCCACTACTCTTCTGCCAACGGTGAAGGATCCTTGTCCAGTCTTTTGTTGAGCTTTTTCCTATAGGTAGTTCTTGACGTACGACGCAACAGAGGTTAGAAAAGCCATCATTAAGTGGTGCAATCACTCAGCAAGGCATCACAGGAAGGCTTGTCCAGGCAGCCTCCAAGAATCAGACACAATGGAAGCTAGTTTTCTTTCTTATCTTATCTTTTTTTTTTTTTTTTTTTTTTGATGTCACAAACAGCAATCACACCACAGTGGGATGCTATGAATGACATACGTGCAAGCAGGTCGTCCAGCACCCCGATTGCGATCGCGTGACGCAATCACCATGGGGACGCTGCGAATAAGTCATTGTTAGTTTTTTTTTCTTACTATTAGCACTGTCATAACTCTGAATGATCGCTGAACGAATGCTAAGTGAGGGCCACATGTGTGTCTTTTCTCAGTGTCCCTCTCATGATTTGCAATCTAGCCAAACTGACAGCTAACCTTTGGGTGCCAAATACATTCAGTAATTGCAAGCAGTCTGGGGGGGGGGCTTAGCAACCCATGCCATAGGCCAGGGGTAGGCAATCTTGGCTCTTTTATGATTCGTGGACTTCAACTCCCAGAATTCCTGAGCCAGCATGGGGGAACTATGGCCCCTTCATGACTTGTGGACTTCAACTCCCAGAATTCCTGAGTCAGCATGAGGGAACTATGCCCCCCTCATAACTCATGGACTTCGACTCCCAGAATACCTGAGCCAGCATGGCTCAGCTTGGAAACCTCTCCCTTTCCCCTCAGCATGGCTGGCTCAGGAATTCTGGGAGTTGAAGTCCACCAGTCATAAAAGGTTGCCTACCCCTGGTCTAGGCATAATTCCATGTCACACAGGCTTAAAAAAAATAATTCTGTCTGCAGTACTTACAAACGCAGGCGAGGCTCCACACATCGGACAAAGTAATCAAAGTCGTCATCATCTTCTTCATCCCAGCTGCGCCAAATGTGCTTATAGAAAAACCTGCCGATCCAAAAACACTGAGCTAAGAGACCTCGCAATTCACAAGGCAGGACAGATGCAAAATGTGGATTTGGTTCACACGGTATTTAGCACTAAGCAGTTTATAGAGTCATCAATCTGGGTCCTCATTTTACCGACCTCGGAAGGATGGAAGGCCGAGTAAAACTTTGAGCTGGTGAGAATCGAACTGCCGGCGGTTGGCAGAGGCAGCCTGCAATACTGCATTCTAACCATGGCGCCACCACAGCTCTGTTACATGTTACATGAAGCCCAGGCTTGCCTGAATCGTTGGTTACTGAGTAAGTTGCAACCTTACTCAGTAAATTCGCAGAATGCCCTAAGCCCAGCTCTAAACCACATCCTACAATGTGTAAAACTTTCCTAATTGAGTATCCATAAGTCCTGATCAGAACAATTCTGGTTTCATCTTCATCGGTGTTATCGCCAGCTTTCACCCTTTTCACCCTGCAGCGAATGTGGGAAATCGCCATTGTAACAGACTCGTTATCTCGTTTCAATATTAGTTCCTGTCAGTGGCAGAAGGCTCCACACAACTTGGCAAATAAGTGCTATCAATTCACAATTCTATTTAAACTATGAATGGAAAAGAGAGTTTGGCCTGGTAAGTTTCCTTCTTGAAAGCTACCAGGTAATAAAGTCCAACTGAGAAAGGAAAAGGAGCAGCTGAACCCAAAATTTGCTAACTCCCTTTTGGTTTAGCAACTGGTGACATGGTGGTTAAGAGGCAGTACTGCAGGCTGACTCTGCCCACTGCCAGGAGTTCGATCCTGACCGGCTCAAGGTTGACTCAGCCTTTCATCCTTCTGAGGTTGGTAAAATGAGGACCCAGATTGTTGGAGGGCAACAGGCTGACTCTGTAAACCGCTTAGAGAGGGCTGTAAAGCACCATGAAGCGGTATATAAGTCTTCTAAGTGCTACTGCTAACTTCTGCAACTTCAACTTGTGTGGCTGGCTCATGGCTCAATTCCCAGCGCAAAAGAATTCTCTGAAACTGGGTCATTTCAGGGCAGCCTGGTTTAGAAGGAAGGGTGAGCCCTGAACGTGGACATGGGCCAAGTTTCTGTTAAAGACAAGGCCCTATGCTTGCTTTCAAAAGGATTCTGCCAAGAATAATCTTAGATTTCCGACAAGATCAAGCTTCTCTTTTTCTAATAGTTTGCTGGAGAAAGAGAAAGGGATAAGGTAGGGGGGGGGAGGAGAGGAGAGGAGGGGAGGGCGGAGAGGAGGAGGAGTAAAAGAAAGGAAAAGGGACAAGGGGAAGGGAAGGAGGGAAGGGAAGGGAAAAAGGAAAGGAAAGGAAGATTGGAAAGAGAAAGGAAAGGAAAGGAAAGGAAAGGAAAGGAAAGGAAAGGAAAGGAAGATTGGAAAGAGAAAGGAAAGGAAAGAGAAAGGAAAGGAAGATTGGAAAGAGAAAGGAAAGGAAAGAGAAAGGAAAGGAAGATTGGAAAGGAAAGGAAAGGAAAGGAAGATTGGAAAGAGAAAGGAAAGGAAAGGAAAGGAAAGGAAAGGAAAGGAAAGGAAAGGAAAGGAAGATTGAAAAGAGAAAGGAAAGGAAAGAGAAAGGAAAGGAAAGGAAGATTGGAAAGAGAAAGGAAAGGAAAGGAAAGGAAAGGAAAGGAAAGGAAAGGAAGATTGGAAAGAGAAAGGAAAGGAAAGGAAAGGAAAGGAAGATTGGAAAAAGAAAGGAAAGGAAAGGAAAGGAAAGGAAAGGAAAAAGAAATAAAAGGGAGGGAGTGGGCAGGGGAGGAGAAGAGGGGTGAGACAAGGAGAGGACAGGAAGGGGAAGCTGCTGCTCACAGTCTCCCATAGTTTACACAGCAGACAGAATTGCAGGCACTCCCCAATTTATGACCACAGATGAGGTCAGAATTTCCATTGCTAAGCAAAGCAGTTCTTTATGCCCAATTTCACCATTATTATTATTATTATTATTATTATTTTGCCACTGTTGTTAAGCAAATCGCTGGCACTGCTGAGGGAATCCCAAGGTCCTGAAGCAAATCCAGCTTTTCCCCATCACCTTTGTCAGAAGCTGGCTGCGAAGGTCAAAAATGACAACCGCAGCATCCCGGGAAGCCGCAACCATCACAAATCCACAAGTGTGGCGATGCTGTGGCAGTGACCGTCGTAAGTCACTTTTTTCCCAGTGCCATTGTCACTTCGAGCATTCACTAAACCAAAGGCTGTGAGTCAAGGACCGCCTGTCGTCGGAAACGCGAAACCGAGCATCTCTCCCCTAGGCCAGCACAGTCTACCTGACATGCTCTATTGCAAGGGCCGTCTGGTCAAATTCTCCCGATTCGTCAAACACGACGGACAATTCCTGCAGAGGCAGCTGGTAGTCCTTCAGTTCCAACAGAGCGCACACCTGCTCCGAGGTGAAGCCCCCCACTTGCACCCTGCACCGAAAAGGCTGGGAAAGCCGCACCACAGCTTTTAGGGAGGCGTAGTCTACATCGGCCACCTGGCAGGTTAGGAAAACAAGAAAGCAGCAGTGAATTATTTTCTGTCTCTCCCTCCCCACCCCACCCCGGAAGAAACTCGCCCTAAAAGAATCATTTGTAACAACTTATGTGTCAGTGGACAGGACTACATTTGAGCAGAAGAGATGGAAGCCCTTGGACAGAAACCGAAGCACCCCAGATATGGTTAAGCTACAGTTCCCAGAAATCCCAGTCAAACTTAAGGAAATGCAGTTCAGCAACGATCAGATAAGAGAGAGCAAATGAGAGCATATTTGTGAGTTCCAGTCCCGCTTTAGGTGTGAAAGCCGGCTGGGTGACTTTGGGACAATCACCAGGGGATGGTGAGTTCTAGTTCTGCCATTTGGGTGACTTTGGGCCAATCACTAGGAAATGGTGAGTTCTAGTCCCACCTTAGGCATGAAAGCCGGCTGGGTGGCTTTGGGCCAATCACCAGGAGACAGTGAGTTCTAGTTTCCACCTTAGACATGAGAGCCGGCTGGGTGACTTTGGCCAATCAAGAGGGGATGGTGAGTTCTAGTTCTGCCATCTGGGTGACTTTGGGCCAGTCACCAGGAGAGGGTGAATTCTAGTTCCACCTTAGGCATGAGAACCAGCTGGGTGACTTTGGACCAATCACCAGGAGTCAGTGAGTTCTAGTTCTACTTTAGGCGTGAAAGCTGGGTTTCAGCCCAATCTGACAGGGTTGTGGTTCTGGGGAAAACAGGAGAAGGAAGATGTGTTCAATATGTCCACCGCCTTTTTAGCAAACATAATAAAGGCAGGATAGAAATAAATAAAAACAGCTCCAAGCTGCATAGGGAGTGGAGAAAGAGGATCAGAAGAAACACGCAGATGCTAAATTTCTCAGGCTGTATAAAGGAGATGGTGGGGAGAATTCTACTTCCGATTGCAAGATTCTGTTAACGTAGCCTTACTAGAAAGTAGAAGTAGCTCATCTCCTCGTCTTTCGTTCCTGGCCTATCTAGGGAGGCTGACCGTCCTAGTAAGACGGCAATTCAAACATTCACTGCTTTCAAAACCTCAAGGGGTCCGCCTAGTCTTTCCCTAGGATCAAAATTCATCCCTCCAACATGGGTTGAAAAAGGGGGCCAAAAATGTGTACATGGTAAGATTTAAACATGTGCATGCACACAGCGTTTTGCCTTCAGCTACCCACGGCATGATACTTTGGACCTCTTTCAGCATCAGCTTGCTTTTCAGATAGGATCTCATTTACCCATTAAAGCTTTCTTTTTAAAAAAAAAAAAATCACCCATTAGCTGCTCCGTGGCTTGAAAGCAGGCAAATAAATAGCATAACTGTGTTATGCTTACCTCAACTAAGACTTCAAACGCATTAGTGCACCAGATTGCTTGCCATCCGGAGGGTTCAAGGACCTTTTCCAAATACTCCGCTGTAAATTCTTTCACCTCTGAGGCCTTGCAGTCAGCTAAAAAATTAAACCAGGAGCAACATGTTTGTTAGGCTTTTTTGCCCGCGCAGCTGTTATGCTGATCTATATCACCATCATCATCAGAGTACAAATAATGTCATGACAGTGTCACGACTATAATTTCTCAAGTCCCCGTGCACAAGTTTTAATTTCAAAGTTTCCCCAATATGCTGTAAATCTCAATTTGGGGGAAAATATTGAAAATGATCGTTTTAAAAAGTTATGGGATTATGGGAACATAAGAGCTTTTCTGTAAAAAAAAAAGAGATGGCAGGAGATTTGTACTTAAGATGCTTGCAAGATTCAATTGCTTGAGCCTTATAAAATAATGATGATGATGATGATAATGATGATGATGATGATGATAAGTCTCGGGTGAGCAATGATGGCAACTTTACGACCTATGGACTTCAACTCCCAAAATTCTGGGAGCTGAAGTTCACAGGTCAATAAAGTTGCCATACAAGTAGATCTGGACTTAACCACCATACATTTAGTGACTATTCAAAGTTGCAACGACACTGAAAAAAGTAACCTAGGATTGTTTTTCACACTTGCATCCCCTTGGTGACATGATCAAAATTCGGACGCTTGGCAACTGGCTCATATTTGTGACGGCTGTTGTGTCCCGGGCTCATGTGATTCCCCCTTTTGCGACCTTGACAAGCAAAGTCAATGGGGAACCCTGATTCATTTAACGACCCGTGATGCTCACTTAACTGCAGTGGTTTCCTTAACAATGGTGGAAAGAAAGGGGCAAAACTCATTTAACAACTGTCTCAACTCAGCAATAGAAATTTTGGGGGTCAACTGTTGGTCGTAAGCGAGGTAAGAGATGGGTGCGCCCAGACCACTGGAAACTCACCCAGCATGTAATCCTGGTAGGTCTTGAATCTCTCATAGAACAGGAGGTTGTTCGTCTGGAAGATGTCTGGAAGGAGAGCTTTTCCATCTGACGCAACCCTCTGCAAAGTCGTTCCGGGCCTGTCGTGGCTCCCATAGTCACTGCAGCTGCTGTCCTCGCTGCACTTACTCTCATTCTCTTCGTCTAGTTGCAAAGGGAAAAAAAACCCTTAGTAGAGTTCACACATGCATGCAGAATCCTTACATTCTATCATGGCTGGTAAGATAGATAAGCTTTATTGTCGTTTTTTTACTGTGGGCACAACGGCATACATCAAAAATGAAATTGAGTTGCCCGCTCTCAAAGTGAAACACTTACATGACACACACCTAAACATACTATGAACAACATATGTATAGACCCACATCCCTACATATACGTAGCAAATAAATATTAAATACTATCCATCTTGAATATATAACCGAAGGAGGAGGCTTGAGAGTTCACAAGGTTAATGCTGTATGGAATGAAACTATGGCTGAATCTGGATGTTGTGCTACGGATGCCACGAAGCCCCATTATCCCAGAAGGTAGCAAGGAAAACAGGTCACGGAGAGGATGTGTAGTGTCCCAGATTATCTTAAGGACCCTGCTCAAGCAATGCTTCTGTGCTATGTCCTGGATGGGAGGGAGGGAATTGCCAATGATCTTTTCTGCTGTCTTCGCCACTCTCTGCACCGCCTTCCTGTCAGAAGCAGGGATGCTTCCAAACCAGACTGTGATGCTGTAGGACAGGATGCTCTCGATCATCCCCCTGTAGAAAGTGGTCAGGACAGGGGAAAGAAGATGTGCTTTTCTCATGCGACGCAGAAAATGCAGGCGCTGCTGTGCCCGCTTCACAGTTTCTCACTGTTGAGCATCCAAGCCAGCCTACTCGTTAGCTGCACACCCAGGTAACCATCTCCACAGGTGGTAACCATCTCCACAGGTGAATGGTATTATCATTTAATGATGACTGCCTCGTTTAGACACCATTCACCGTTACCACAGTGATGAAAAAACGACTTTGCAACCAGTCTTCACAATTGGAACCTTCGCAGGTGCACAAAGCAAAGGAAAACTGAAGGAAAATCACAAGCACGGTGGCAGTTTCGTGTAGCAACTGATTTGATTAACAACCGGGTTGTCAGTCCCAATTATGGGCGCTAAAGGGGGACTGTCTGAATTACTACTGTCAGTTTGGTATAGCGGTTAAGATATCAGGCTAGATATCAGGAGAGTTCCAGTCCCACCTTAGGCATGAAGCCACTTGGGTAACCTTGGGCCAGTCATTCTTTCTCAGCCCTGAGAAGGAGGCAATAACAAATGACCCCTAAAAACCTTGCCAGGAAAACTGCAGTAACCTGTCTAGCCAGTTATCAGGAATCAACATTGATTTGAAATCACTTCAAAAAGTATTACTCGTTTTATATATAATATAAATATTATGATTATATACACAACATGAAATGCCACTTCTTTAGCTACTGTTGGCAGTATGTATCAAATTCTTTCCAAGAACCTAGCATGTTGTAATGTATCCGCGTAGTGTTTGTGTGTGTTAAAGCACTGTGGGGTTTTGTAACAGATAGAAATGTTGTCAATACTCAGCTTTTTAGTTGCCCTCCAAGACTTTTTGGTATAGCACCCAGTGTGCCAATAACCACTGGGGAACCACACCCAATTTATACCATAATCTTTCTATTATTATGGATCATCGCAGTGAGCCAGATGTTCAGACTGGATTTGGCATTTTGTCTACCTATTGAGTCCTTACCCAGGACCTGGGATAGGCAGATGTGGATGTTTGATGGTATTACAGATATTGTCGCAGGATGGAAGCAGTTCCTAGTAAGGCTGCCTTTTGCAATTGACTAATAGTGAATTTATCAATGCCAATGGTGTTCAAGTGGCACCCAGCGTGCCAATAACCACTGGGGAACCACACCCAATTTATGCCATAATCTTTCTATTATTATTATCATTATTATTATTGTTATTGTTGTTGTTTGTTCTTTTGTTATTGTTTTGTTGTTATTTGTTGTTATTATTATTGTTGTTATTATTATTTTCATAACAATGTGAAGTCACAGCTACCACTTCTTTCGACTGGTGTGGGCCTTGATAGGCATCCAGATCTTCCCAACTTATTACTATTATTATAGTTGGTGGCACCGTCAGTCAGACGTTTAGCCCGCGTTTAGCGTTTATTCCTGACAGGGCTCCAGACTGACTCAGCCCTCCATCCTCCCGAGGTCGGTAAAAGGGGGACACGGATTGTTGGGGGGCAGAAGCAACCAAAGGCTTCCACATTGCAAACTGCTCAGAGGGCGCTTATAGAGCGGTGTGGGGCAGTGTGTCAATCCAAGCGCTATTACTGCCCTTCGCCAGCTCTGCAGTTAAGCCACTTCCGGAGTTTTGAAACTAAGCGGCAGAACGTCCGGAGCCAAAGCAAGAGAACAACGGGGGGGGGGGAAGCGGAATTAAAACGGGATTTAGCGGCGAGGTTAGAGAGGGTCGTGCGAAGACGGAGGCTTGGAAGGGAGGACGAGCAAGGCTTACCGGAATTAAGATCTTCCGAGAATTCCTGAGCGCTGCCGGCGACCGGTGCGGGCGGCAAGGCGGCTTCGGTTAACTGGTTGTCCTCTCGCTCCGCCTTCGGCTCCGGCTCCAGCTCTGGCCGAGCTTCCCTCTCCTCTTCCCCGGCCGCTTCTGCCGCCGCCGTCGCCACCGCCGCCGCTTCTTCAGCGGCCATCCGCGGTTCAGCCTCTGGGCAGGCAGGCCCGCCTTGCTCCCCTCCGCTCGGCTCCTCCATCCCGCCGCCGCCGCCGCCCAGCGCCCTTCGTTGCAAATTTCAAACTTTCGCGGCGGAGCACCTGACGTCACTCTCAGGGCAGCTGCGATTGGCTGAGACAAGGGAAGTCCCCGGAGCGGCGGAGCCTATCGGGAGGCAGCAAGGAGGCGCGGTTAGAACGTTCGGGGGCTTGAGCGGGGATGCCCCGTTCCATGGGGGCGGAGCTTGAGGGAGATGAAAGAGGAAAGGCATCAAAGTTGGGTGCGGGGGGGGGGGACTTTGAACTTGGGACGCCGGAGGGAAACTGAGGAAGGAAGGGTAGCAGTCTAGATGCGATGGAGGGGAAAGGCTGCCGGCTGGCGGCGTGGGGAGAGGCTTCCTTGTTCTTTATTTTGATTTTTATTATTTATTTTCCAAGGGAAAATTAATCAAGGAGAGAAGCAAGGTGGGATTAAGAAGAAACTTGCCAACAGGGAGGACGATTAACCAGTGGAACGGCTTGCCACCAGTGCTTCATCATTGGAAACTTTTAAGAAGAGACTGGACAGCCACTTGTCTGAAATGGTGTAGAGCAGCGGTTCTCAACCTATGGGTTGCGACCCCATTTGGGGTCGATCGACCATTTCTCGGGGGTCGCCAAACAAGGCGATCCGCCATTTTTCCCCCTGGGGGGGGCGGCGCTGCGCATGCACGCTGTGCATGAGGGCGGCGCGCGCATGCGTGCGGCGCTGCGGCACGCATGGGGGGCGCCGCGCATGCACGGCACATTTATGTGACGGGGGCGCCGTCACACAAACGTTGAGAAGCACTGGTGTAGAGTCTTCTGTTTGAGCATGGGGCTGGACTAGAAGACCTCCAAGGGTCCCTTCCAGCTCTATTCTGATTCTGATTCTTCCCACAAGCTGAGGGATGATGGGAATTATGGTCCAGCAGTAGTGGATGGCGCCTGGTTGCAGAAGACCCATTTTTCTAAGCTACAGATTGCGATTTTGGCTGGGTTTACATACTGGGAAAGATGGAGGGCAATAGAAGAAGGGGACGACAGAGAATGAGATGGCTGGATGGAGTCACTGAAGCAGTAGGTGTGAACTTAAATGGATTCCAGAAAATGGTAGAGGATAGGAAGACCTGGAGGAACGTTGTCCATGGGGTCGCGATGGGTCGGACACGACTTCGCAATTAACAACAACAACAACACACTGGACTAAAAAAATGTTGTGTATCCAAAGGGGGAAGGGTTCACCCACGACCCTCACCCCACAGTGCTTTATCTATCTGTGGGTGGAGAATTGTGTGAATGAAGCCCATTGATTCAACTGGCTATGATTGTTGATCTGTGTCTAGGTAGCCTGAATTTTCCCCTTAACAAGCTGGGGAGATGTCCTAAAAGTTCAATATAAAAAAAAAATATTGTTTGCAAACAATGGAAGATCTAATATTCAAAATGTATTTAAAAGTAGAGGTGATATGCTGAAGTTAATTTTGTATTTTCTTTTGTATCATTAGTTATTTCTTTTGTTAATTTTTTTTTGTAGCTAGTTTCTTTTAGCACTATTTGGAGTTTTTTAAAAAGCTGATAATAGTTTTGAAAATTATCGAATTACTCTTCTGAAGATAAACTGAACTGTTTTATGCCCTGGTTAAGAACAAAGCCACCATGTTCGCACATGTTAGCTAATCCATGGTTAACTGAAGTGCGGACCACTGAACTAACTAAACTGTCCAGGTTTGCACAACCAATGAAATCAGGCAACACACAGCATGTTAGCCTAACGTTTTGTATTGTACTGTGTGCACCAAGCCCATATATATTCCCTGACTTTCCAGGACTGAAGGAATGAAAAAAACATTATTGTGCAACCAAATTAGTCTAGCCACAAGGGGGCCATATAACATTTGAAATTAAAGACTACAGGAACCATTTGCTCGTCATTTTGAGATGCAGACAACAGATTCATCCTAAACAGCCTGCGCCTGTCGTTAACAGTGAAGGGACACAAGGCAGAAAACATCCTGCAGAAAACACAACTCCACATCACAGTCCTTTCAGCAGTTCCAAGAAGGCTCCATACCCATTTGCACCACTCAGGTGACCCTGAAGACACAGACAAATCTCCAAGTGGCCTCAACGATTCTCTAAAAAGATGCAAATGACCAGCTGTCTGCAAGGAGTATAAATCCTTCCATTCCCAACCATCCAGTCAGAGCTGAAGAAGCTTCTTGGATGAGAAGCGAAACGTCTTCAAAGAAAAACAAGAAAGTTCCAGTTGCCTCTTGAAAAAGCACTTTGGGGACAACAAGGACCTGGATGACTAAGAGTCTCCATAGACATTTTCAAATTAAACTGGAAAATCTGACTTGCTTAGACAGTTCAATTTTGTCCAGCTAATATGGTTTTCATTGAGCAAGACTGATCACCAGCAAATCACAGCACTCTTTAATTGTCAGAACAAAATGACCTGCCTCATTAAGCAAATGCAAAAGTCATTGTCTTTAAACTATTAAAGCATACATTCCTTCCTGAAGTGGAATAATGAGATAATTTTCTTGGTTTCCAATCTATCTTGATTTCCTCTATAGAGATTTTATTTTCTCTTATCTTTTTTCCTTGGTAATCATTTACGCAAAGCAAAGTTCTCCCACTTGATGTTGGACTTCATTTCCAAAATGGCCAGGCAACATACCGTTGGCTGTGCTTGCAAGGAATTCTGGGAGTTGAAGTCCAAGACATCTATAGAGCATCAGGTTCAAGGGAGACTCAACGTACATGAAGGGCAGGGCTTTAACTGTTAAATCAACCAAGATGGTGGTTAGGGCCACCATCTTGACTACAAGTCTCCCCATTAAATTCAGGAAGACAGTTCCCAAAAATCTATTTGCTAAAATTATTATTTAAATGTATTTGATGTCCAACTCTCAGTGACTTGCTAAACATATGTGGAGACCACTCAGAGCTGTGTTCTTTCCATCTGGTCCTTTACCTTTGTGATGAGTGTTCGTTCTTAGAAATGTTTGTTTACAAGAGTAAGCTGTCCCCACTCTTTATGCAGCTTGAAGATTTAACACTCAGGGGAAGCAGCCTCTTCTCAATATGTCTGGAATTACTTTTCAAAGATAAAACACCTACCCACAAATCAGGCACCCAGTGGCTTCTATTTTGATGCCACCGTCTTGCTAACAGGAAATGGTCTTTGGCATGACCATAGAGACTCTAGAAAGAGTGCAGAGAAGAGCAACAAAGATGATCAGAGGACTGGAGGCTAAAACATATAAGGAACGGTTGCTGGAATTGGGTATGTCTAGTTTAACGAAGAGAAGGACTAGGGGTGACATGATAGCAGTGTTCCAATATCCCAGGGGCTGCCACAAAGAAGAGGGAGTCAAGCTTTTCTCCAAAGCACCTGAAGGCAGGACAAGAAGCAACGGATGGAAACTAACCAAAGAGAGAAGCAAACAGATCTAAGGAGAAATTTCCTGACAGTTAGAACAATTAATCAGTGGAACAACCTGCCTCCAGAAGCTGTGAATGCTCCAAAACTGGACATTTTTAAGAAGAGACTGGACAACCATTTGTCTGAAATGGTATGTGGTTTCCTGCCTGAGCAGGACTAGATGACCTCCAAGGTACCTTCCGACTTGATTATTATTATTATTATTATAGGAGAGAAGAAGAAGAAGGCAGTAGATTTGAAAGGAACAATATTTCACACTAATGGTCCTCTGAACGACCAGTCGTCAAAGCCTAGGCATCCCTGGGAAAAACATGTTCAGTACAGTACTGTATCTTCAGTTACAAACTCTTGTCTTACAAATCAGCGACATTATACTTGTTTTTTCTTGTTTTTTTAAAGCTGGATGTTAAATCAATGTCTGAGAATTTAGAAGCATCTTAGGAACATCCGTTACCAGCTCTCTTGGTGTGTCAGTTTTGTTTCTTCTCGTGATTCTGGCACATCATTGAATGCGCTGAATAATTAAGAGGTCTCAAAAGTGCTGGTAGCCAAACTGAACAGATGGGTTCTAGAAAGAAACAATCCTGTTGAATGCAACTTGAGACCCCTCTAAGGATTATGTGCGTGACGCAAGTGTTTGAGATGCCTGCCAGTGTAGATACATTAAAGGGGGAAGTGCAGCAATTCATGGAAGGGAAGAGGTTTATTAATGGAGCTTCCTCTGTTCATGAATCATGACTTAGACCAGGGGTCCTCAAACCTGGCCACTTTTAAGACTTGTGGACTTCAACTTCAACCATGGTTGGCTGGGGAATTCTGGGAGTTGAAGTCCACAAGTCTTAAAGTGGCTAAGTTTGAGGACCCTTGACTTGGACCCATTGATGTTGTCAAAGACATCCTTTGTTGAACTGGAGAAGTCCAGTTCTTTCTGCTCCACCTTGGTCCCTCACCCTTCCAGATACATTGGGTCATTGATGACATAATAGACACGGTTATAAGATTCTCATTCTCTTGAAAAATTCAAAGCAATCATCCACCAACCTTCAGCCAATACCAATTTTCCCTATGTTGAAAGATAGATTTAGACCCTACAGGAATTATTTAAAAATGGAACAGCAGCTGATTGCTGCCCAAATTTATTTTGAAGTGTGCTCTTCCACCCAGAAAAAAAAAACCGGGAAAGTTGGGATGGAAAGCATCAAGGTTTCCCTTTCAGATTTTGGGGATAATAGAAACAGAATAAAATTAATACATTTGCTAGAGTTTAAAATCCAGGGATAACTGGAAGAATAGGTGAGTTCAGTGCAGATGGCCGGTGTTTTATTTTTGTCCATGAAAAACATTACAGGTAGTCCTTGACTTACAATTGAGCCCAAAATTTCTGTTGCTAAGCGAGACATTTGGTAAGTGAGTTTTGCCCCCATTTTACAATCCTTCCTGCCACAGCTGGTAAGCGAATCATTGAAGTTGTAAAGCTAGTAACAGGGTGTTAAGAGAATCCGGCTTCCCCATGGATTTTGCTTGCCAGAAGGTCACAAAAAGGGATCACATGATCCCGGGACACTGCAGCCGTCATAAATATGAGTCAGTTGCCAAGCGTCTGAATTTTGATCATGGGAGCATCGTGGGGATGTTGCATTGATCGTTAAGTGTGAAAAACGGTCCTAAATCTCTTTTATCA